TCCAAATCGAGGAAAGAGACCATGGTAGAGTCAAACTTCTCAAGTGTAGCTTGAAGAACGGATGGAATCGGAATGCATCTCAAACTATGAAATTCCTCAATGATTGACGCGAGGCTCGCAAGTGCCTCTTGAGTGCTCGCCAAAACCTCTCGGTGACGCTTGGTAGGCACAACCGTAGATAGACTTGAAGCTTCGGTCCTCGGTGTACAAGGTTGGCCAACCGATAGGTGCTCAAATGATGGAGAAGATGGAGCATGGGACTCGGTTTCTTCGTTTTTGGATGTGGGAGCCATTGAAGCGCGAAGGGATCAAGTGCACTCTTCTAAGTGCTCCATAATCTCGGCTAGATTGACTCGAGAAGATTCTCGAGTCGGCTCGGGTGGAGATGTCTTTTCATAATAAACGGGAGGTGGTGGATAGTAGTGAGGCGCCTCGTTGTGACCTGGAGAATAATAACTGAAATCAACTTGAGATGGCGGGTAAGAAGGGCTTGAATACGGATAGGGCGACCTTCCATACGGGTACATCTCCTCATGGTAGTTGTCGGGGTATCCACGAGATGAGCTACCGACATAAGAATAGCCGTATGGATCCATCGGAGCTCCTCAAGCGAAGTACCTCGCACAAGAACAAGAAAAACAACCCAAGGCACACGAGACAAGAGAGAATAACAAAAAGCGAAACTAAAAACACATAATATTTACACGGCACAAAAGCAAAAGCAAGAGAATTGGAAAATAAGTAAATAATCAAGAGAAACACGCAAAAACGAGCAAAGAGCACAAAACGGAAGAGAAACATGAAAACAAACGACAACTAGATAGCAAACTTGGCGTCCTACTCGCCTTCCCCGGCAACGGCGCCATTTTGTTTGTAGTATTTTGGGCATGTGGTAACCGAGCTACCCGACTCGGGTCGTTCTCAAAGTAAGGCTCTTCGGAGCTTCGTTCACTATCTAATCGTCAAAATCACACAACCAAAAAGGTCCTAAACATTCTACTCGCAAATTGGGGGTTTGAATTAAACACTACTCGCAATTGGAAATCGAAAGCAAGTGAAAACTTAAAAAC